GTTTTACTTAGGTGGCCAAAGTAGGTTTACTTAGTAGAATTTAAAGAATAGAGTGATTATTTTTAGAGAAAATTTGGAACAAGTGATTGTTGAGAAGAGTTAGTAATTTGCGTTATAGAACATGTTCTGTACCTGCTATATATTAAATTAATGTAAATAAATTTTTTAATAACTTGAATTAATTAATAAATTGTTTTATACTTATATACTAATTAATAATAACAAAAGAAAATTAAATCATAAATATACATGAATTTAAATAATTATTTTTAACTATTTAGAGTTTTAAATAATATTAAAATCTTATGTATCCAATTAAATATATATTTAAAAAGCATGATTTATAGATTTTTTTTTTGTTATTACTCAAATAATAATTTAAAATTTTTGTCTTAAAAATTAAATATATAATATATGATAAACATATTCTATAATTTGATTTTTAAAGCAAATATCTATTTATTTTCAAATTTCAATACATTTAGCAAAAATTATAATGTATAAGTCTTGTTTAAACCTGCTTAAAGATTATTTTTAAGATTAATAACAATATATTAATATAAATTAAACAGATAATATAAAATATATCTATAGTGTTTAATACCATAGATATTGTTTTGATTTACAGACTGTATAACAAAAACAAAAAAACAATTTTAATAAAAACGAAAAATAAAATTTAAAGGTAGAGTATATGTTGTACCCTGGATGGGAATCCACCTGATTCAGAATCTGGCTATCCCGATTCAGAATCAGGGTAGCCCAATTTAGAATTCTTAAGCAGGCTACCCGAAATAAAGATATAATTGATATTCATATTTGTACTACATATATGCAGAAACTGCGTATAAAAAAAATTACTTTAAACAGGTTTTAGTCTTAGATCGGAAGTTATTTTGGGTTAAATTAATGACCAATACATAATAATGATATAATTAGTATGTAATAATTCAATAGTTACTCGTAGTATAAACCAAAAATCGATTTACTATTTGCTTGAAATATAGGTTTAAAACAATACTTAAAAATAAAAGTAAAGCTTACCAATAGTGTAAAGTTTAAGTAAAGCCTACCTTATAGTGTAAAGTTTAAGTAAAGCTTATTTATTAGTGTAAAGTTTGGAATACCAACACTTTTTAGTTTCACTATTTTCTTAAGAAAATAAACTTGACGTTATGGATACAAATGAAGATTTTTCCTTTCTTACTCGTACTGCTTTTAATTAATTAGTTTCAGAATTTTTATCAAATCGTAAACCTAAGCAGCAAAGAAAAGCAATTATTACGCAAGAGGATTATGATTTAATTATTAGTATCTTGAAAAATCCAAAAAACACATCTATTGGAAGCGCGAAGGATCAATTTTGGGCAAAAAATAACTTTTACTTACATAATATTGGAACATCCCAAAATCCTATTATTCAACTTATGGAAATAAAAAATATGAAAGAAAAATCAGATCGTGTTGTCTGTCTATTTCAAAACCTATATGAAGTTCTTGGAAAAGTACATGGAAATACCCACCAACACTGTAGTTTGAAAAAAACATTTGAGGTGATAAGCAATCAATATACTTATATTCTCTGTTCATTTGTAGAGCTATATGTTGCTCGATATACACAGTATTATACAAGAAGAAGTTTTCCCGCACTTATTGTTAGAAAAACTATTGTATCAAAAAGTTTTTGCAATGTGTACAGGTTGATCTGGTTTCATTTGAGAAATATCTAGATAAAAAATACCGGTATATTACATATTTTTGCAATTATTTTACATGTTTTTTGTGGACATGTTCATTACATACTAAAGAAGCATCAGCATTCTTGTTTGCTGTTTTTACCATTTTTGGGCCTCCTTATATTTTACAAAGTGATAACAGACGGGAATTTACAGCACAAATAATTCATGAGCTACTTGGTTTATAGAAAGACATTCATATTATTAATGGGTATCCTCGCTATCCTGATTCACAGGGTTCAGTAGAAAATTCTGACAAAACCTTAAAGAATACACTTTTAATATGGAT